AGACAGGGCAGAAAGCCAAGGAAAGAAAGCCAGCATCTCCTCTGGAGTGCTCATGTAAGTCAAGCCCTTGAGTATATTTAAGAGTCATCGTGTCCAGTAATTTTAAGGCCCTAGGCTGTCCCAGGAGGAAACATAGTTGCTACGGATATTTAATCGGATGCTTACCAGCTTTGTTGCATATGAAATGGCATGTGAAAATTCCAGGAACTCTAATCTTCTTGTCCTTTTCTGGTGTCCCTGAAACAATCCTGGGATCAAATATGTGTGGGAAATGGCCAGAAATAGGAACAGGTGTAAAACAGGGGCAACTTCCATTTCTTTGTTTTTTTTTTTTTTTTTTGTTTTTTGTTTTTGAGACAGGGTCTTGCTGTTTGGCTCAGGCTGGCCTTGAATCCACTGTGTAGCTCAGGCGGGACTTGAACTTGACCTCATGATCATCCTCTTTCTCAGCCTCCCAAGTGCTGGGTTTATTGGCGTGTGCTACCATGTCCAGCTTAGGGTCAGCTTTTGAAGCAAGATTTCAGCAGGATGGCTTAGCAGAGAAGCCAACAAAAGAACAATGCAGTGCTTGTGTGTTCTGAGCAAGGTATGTTGGTTGTTCATACATCTTTCAGACATTGCTATATTTGCATTCATCATTTCTTTTTTCTTTGCTTTCTTTCTTTCTCTCTCTCTTTTTTTGGGGGGGGCAATATCCAGAGGCCTTTGTAGTGAGCTACATCCCCAGCCCTTTTCTAAAAAAATTTTTTTTGGAGGCAAGATCTCACTATGCAGTTCAGCTGGCCTTGAACTTACTGTGTGGTCCAGGCTGGCTTTGAACTTTCAGTGATCCTCCTGCCTCTGCCTCCCAAGCGCTGGAATTACGGCTGTATGCCACCATGTCCTGGCCTGTTTTGTTTTTTGAGACAAGGTCTTCCCAGGTTACCAGGTTACCCATGGGCTAGGTTCAGAATTGGGATCCATCTGCCTTTAGCCTCCCAGAGTGCTGGGGTAACAAAGATGTGCCTGGCTCGTTGGTACTCATTTAATTTTAGCAGTTCTGGTCACGAAGGACAGCAAGACGTGTAGTATAAATCCAGTTAAGAATCTGGGCAAATTCCTGAAACCAGACCTTTAAAGCAAAGAATCCTCTGGAGTGGAAGGAAAGGCCGCCTGGGAAGAGGGCAGCGTAGGGTCTGGGAAGACTTGCAGAAGGTGGACATTCCTGTGAAGGTGCTGGTAGCAGGCTGTCACGGCACTTTCGGAACAGTCTGATTTTATTAGCTGGACAGGTGTCCCCCCTTGCCTCACTCACTGGTCCTCAGGTCTCTGCCTGGGTGGGTCGAAGCAGGAAAGGCAGGGGGCATGGCTCGTGGGCAGCCTGGTGGAGGTCTGAGCCTAAGGTGGAGCCACGCCACCTCCCTGTGGTGTGAGCCCTACGGGTCAGGGGCAGGGCTCATCTGGGGAACCTCCGGGGAGTGCCCGCCTGGCTCATTAGTGGATGTCTGTGGAGGCCTTTGAAGATGAAACAGTCCAAACCACTCACTGTTTCTGTTTTTGGACAAACCATTACCTTGGTCTCCAGGGGCTGTTGCTCTGGCTGCTTTGCACTAGTCTGGAATTTGCTGCAAACTGAGTAGGAAAAACTAAACAAAACAAAAAAACAAGCCTGCAGAAGTTTCTGAAAAACAACTACATTCCCACCAAACCCCCATCTTTGGCATACAGGAAGTACCCCCGTCCACCGCCCACATTCTTGGGTTAGGGTGCACTCTGTCTGAACCTGTTCCTTGCCTTCTGGGTTTGGGGTGTGTGTGTCTCTGGTTCCCAGCCTGTGCCAGTGCCAGCAGCTGGCATGTGATTGCTGAGTGGGCTGACACAGGCCTCCTCCAGGCAGAGGACGGGCTGGCATGAGTGGCTGAGCCCCCGTCACAGTTGTTCCAGGGATGCGTTTCTGTGGCTGCCCAGTGCCCAGGAGAAGGAAGGGTGGAAGTGGGGTAGATGTATCTGCTTCTGTCTCTTGGGAGCAATGGCTGTCGGGTAGGTTTTTGGATCTTCGCCATGGTTCTCACTGCACCCCTTTGTCCTTTCAAGGAACATTTTTTTTTCAGGGAAATTAAATTGCTTTTTTATTCTGATGTTATGAAATTGGGAAGTAGTATTTTTTTATTTAAAAAAATGTTATTTTTTAATTTTTTATTTATTTTTGTGTCTTTGAGACAGGGTCTCACTATGCAGTTCAGGCTGGTCTTGTGCGCACTTTGTAGCCTAGGCTGGCCTCGAACTCAAAACAATCCTCCTGCCTCAGCCTCCCGAGAGCTGGGATTACAGGTGTGTGCCACCACACCCAGCTTTTTTTAAATTAGTTACTCAGAGTACAAGATACAGGCACATTTATTAAGTGCCTCATATGTACCACATATAAACATGCATTTTGAGTAAGTTTCAAGTGAGGGCAGTAGGGCTCCTAGAAGTTCAGCTGTTTGCTATGTGGAAGGCACTATTGTAGGTACTGTAATACCTCAGTTCACGAGCGCTTTTGTTCTCAAACAATTGGGTTCTCAGAGAAAAGTGTTTGGAAAATTTTGTTTACATTCACAAACTTCACATTGGGTGGCAAACAACTGCAGTTGTCTTCCCCGTGAAACACAAACCCAGTCATCTGCTGCAATATGTAAAACAGATTTAAGTATGTGAGCCGAGGAAACCACTGTGCTAGGGACACAGCAGTGAACAGAACATACTAGGAGCTGACAGAGGAGGAAGAAAGAACTACAGCAGTAGGCTGGGCATTGTGGTGCATGCCTTTAACCGAGGGTACTGTTGCGAGTTTGAGTTCAGCCTGGGCTACAAAGTGAGCTCAAGGCCAGCCTGAACTGCGTAGCGAGACCCTGTCTCAAAAAGACCAAAAAAAAAAGAACTACAGCAAGAAACCGCTAGGTAGTGTGTCAGATGGTGATAGTGGTTTTTGGGGGGGTTTTTGTTCGTTTTTTTTTTTAGTTTTTGAGACAGGGTCTCGCTGTGCAGTTCAGGCTGGCCTTGAACTCACTTTGTAGCCCAGGCTGGTCTCAAACTCTCAAGGATCCTCTTGCCTCAGCTTCCCGAGTGCTGGGGTTACAGGCTTGCGCCACCACACCCGACTGATAGTGGTTTTTTGTTGTTGTACTGTGGATTGAACTCAAGCACTGTACGCTCCAGCCTCTTTTTACTTTTTGTTTTGAGACAGGGTATTCCTAAGTTACTAAATTGCCCAGGCTGAGCTCAAAGGTGGTAATTCTGCCTCAGTCTCCCAGAGTGCTGGAATTACAGCTGCGCTGCACCACACCTGACTTGGTGTAAATGCTATGAAGAAAGTTAAAGTAGGATAAATGGAATAAAAAGTGATACTTGTGTTATGTGGGTCATTGGGGAAGGCCTCTGTGGTCAGTGGCATTGGAAGAGGCATCTAGAGGACGTGAGAGCGTAGTGGGGGAGCTCATCCTGGTAGGGGAGCGTACCAGGGAGAGGGAATAGCAAGTACAAAAGCTTCAAGGCAAGTTGGGCATGGTGGCGCACGCCTGTAGTCCCAGCATTTGGGAGGCTGAGGCAGGAGGAATGTTGTGAGTTTGAGACCAGCCTGGGCTACAAAGTGAGTCCAAGACCAGCCTGAACTGCATAGCGAGACCCTGTCTCAGAAAAGACCAGAAAAAAAAGCTTCAAGGCAGAAAAGTGCAGGTGAGTTGCAGTGGGACCAGCAGAGGGGAATGGTATGAGATCTTAGAGCTGTAGGGGAGTGTAGATCTTACAGGACTTGCAGGCTGTGGCATGGACTATGAGTTTTACCAAAAGGGAGCTTCAAAGCCAAGAGAGATTTGTTTCTTGAAGTGTTGGAGGTGGTATGTGCTGGGTAAGCACTCTACCACTCGGCCACTGAGCTGCATCCTTGGCCCTTTTTAAAATTTTATTTTCGGGATCATGTCTTGGAAAGTCACCCAGACTGATTTTTTTTTCTTTTCTTCCGGTACCAGGAATCAAACTCAAGACCTTGTGCTTGCCAGGCGGGCTCTTTGCTGCTGAGCTAAATCCCCAGCCCCGCCCAGACTGATTTTGAACTTGCCATCCTCCTGTCTCAGCCTTTTGAGTAGCTGGGATTACAGGCTTGCAGCACCACATCTGGAAAGAGGGTTTTGAATAGAGGAACTGCATGACCTGGTTTTGGTTTTAAAATCACTCTGGGTGCTATGTGGAGGACAGACACATGGGGTTCCAGAGGAAATGGGACTTGAGATGACTACCCCGTCTCAGGAGACTACCAAACAGATCCCCTGGACAGCAGCAGTGGTCTGAGCTCTGTCTGGTTGGGGCGAGGGTAACCTCTCCACCCGACATCCCCATTCTTAGGGTACTACTGTGTGTTCAGGGCACAACTTTTAACAGTAGGTAGTTGACAGAGTGTAAAGAATCATCCTGTCTTAGGAGTGCTGTTTTCTTTCTTTTTTCCTCATTTGTACTCGTGTGGAAGGAGGATGGAATTGTAGACTGTAGGTAAGGAAGAAGCAGCCCCTTGATTAGAAAGGACAGCATAAACCTTGGGAACCTGGCAAGCCTGAACTTTGTCAGAAGTCACAGAGGGCCACTCCTCATTCCACGCCGTCCCCTCCCAGAAGTCTCAGGGTAAGGTTGGGGGAGGGAGGAGTATAAGTGATGTTGCAGCACGTTGGGGTGTGATACAGAATGTCAGAACTGAAGGGACTTCAGAAGTCACCCAGCTAAACCCTCTCAGTTTACAGGTGCAGATCTGGAGTGATGAAGGCACTTTCCCAGAGTCATATAGTGGATTGCAGACAATCAGGATCCTGAGCATTCCGCTTTGTCTCTGCTCATGAAGGCCTAGAATGTGCCTGAGTGGGCCTTGGTATTCATCGTCCCTCCAGGCTCTAGTGTGTCATGGATGAACTCTTGCTCGTGACGTCAGTGAACTCCACTTACGTGAACTCGGGATGCGCAAATGGTGATAATGAATTTGTGTTTCCTTTGCCTAGGATCAAGTCCCTCATACCAGGGACCAGGCTAACACCAGATTGCCACTCCCCCCACTCAGGCCCCACTACGCTTAGGGTGCAGCTGCTGTGATCATGGGCAATATCTTCGGGAACCTTCTCAAGAGCTTGATTGGGAAGAAGGAGATGCGCATCCTGATGGTGGGCCTGGATGCTGCTGGGAAGACCACTATCCTGTACAAGCTGAAACTAGGGGAGATTGTCACCACCATCCCCACCATTGGTAAGGACACAGCTCCTGTGTAGGCTTCCATGCCAGCAGCTGAGGCATGGCAGGAGGCTCTTTTCTAGATTCCCCACCTGGCCACTTCTCCCCAGGCAAGTCCATGCACTTTGTGGACATCAGAGAATGATGACTATTTAGCCTACCAGCAGCTGCCAGGCTGCCATTTGCCCATCCGCCCTGGTCCTCCCTGATGCGAGAACTTCTTCCACAGCCTGGCACTCTACACTTGCCCTCAGGCACTAGAGTTGGTTTGTTCTCTGTGTTCTTTGGGAAGCAGGTGAAGGGCTTTGATGTTCCTGCCAGAGGCCTACAATTGCTTTGGATCTTTGGGCCAATCCTGATTCTGACCTGCCTATGGGAGGCAGAACATTTGCCACATGTAGGGGGCTGTGAATCATCATCTGCAGCTTGTTCTGCATTTAGGGCTTCAAGACTGCACCTTACCTCTCATTCTCCATCCACCTCTTAGCTCCACATCTTAGTTGAGGCAGAGACTCTGGCGGCCAAGGTGCAGGAGCTGAGTCATTTTTCCTTAGGAATGAGGGCCACTGTCTGAGCAAGGAGTGGGTAAGGTTGGCTCACACTACCCAGGCAGCTCTGAACTTTCTGACTAGACCTCCACATCCTCCTTGACTTTGGTCTTCAGGCTTCCGGGTCTGAGGATGACTTAGTTTTCTTCTGTTGGTGTCATGACGTGTTTTTTTTTCTTTCTCCCAAAGGGTTTAACGTGGAAACAGTAGAGTATAAAAATATCAGCTTCACAGTGTGGGACGTAGGTGGCCAGGACAAGATTCGGCCCCTCTGGAGGCACTACTTCCAGAACACCCAAGGTATGGCTGATAAACTCCCAGGACTGGTGTGGATTGGAGTGGGATAAGCAGAGTGGGGCTGTCTTCCTTGATCGTTGGCAGCCAGCCCTTGCCCTGCTGTAGCTGCAGGGATGGGCAAAAGGAGGAAAAAAGGTAACTGTATGAACAGTGTAAGGATGTGTGGTCTTTTGGTGGTGGGCAAGAGGCCATCTCTACAGCGCCTGCTCTGCCTCCCTAGGCTTGATATTTGTGGTCGACAGCAATGATCGGGAGCGAGTGAATGAGGCCCGGGAAGAGCTGATGAGGATGCTGGCAGAGGACGAGCTCAGGGATGCTGTGCTGCTTGTCTTTGCAAACAAACAGGTGAGACTTCTACCCACCCCTGGGTGTGAGGGGCCAGCCTAGTTGTGGAGATCATGGGACCTTGGGCTCACTGTATGGGAATCAGGCTCTCAAGTTTGGAAGAGTGGGAAATGTGAGCATTTGACTTCCTTTTTTTCTCTTTCTTTTTTTTTTTTTTTTTTGGCCTTTTTAAAGACAGGGTCTCCCTATGCAGTTCAGGCTGGCCTTGAGCTCACTTTGTAGCCCAGGCTGCTCTCGAACTTGCAGTGATCCTCCTGCCTCAGCCTGCCAAATGCTGGGATTATGGGCGTGCGCCACCACACCCAGCCCATGTGGCTTTATATCCCTCTTGTTCCGTACCTGTCTTTATTTAAATAGTCTTCAGGGATTGGTCTGGTGGATACAGCACCTCAAATCTTTCTTCCTTTTCCCTGTTGTACACATCTCTGGAATTCGGTCATTCCTGCTGTCACACAGACTTGAGTCTGGGGTTGTCTCAGTCGCCTCTCCACTTCCCCGTGAGCCCCGTGCAGCCTTCGGTTTCTGCTTCTCAGTGGGATGACCGTGTAGAGCCTTGGATGGGGGCGGTTTCTAGGATGACAGAGTCCAAAGGAGATCCCTTGGATCTTGTTCTGGGTTTCCTAAAATAGAGGAGGAGGGAAAGGTGCCCGTAGGTGGGTGCTCTGCAAGCCTCTGAAGTTCTTTGTGAGGCTCCTTTGTGTGTGTCTCCCTCACACTCCAGGATCTGCCGAATGCTATGAATGCTGCCGAGATCACGGACAAGCTGGGCCTGCATTCCCTGCGTCATCGCAACTGGTACATTCAGGCCACCTGCGCCACCAGCGGGGATGGGCTGTATGAAGGCCTGGACTGGCTGGCCAATCAGCTCAAAAACAAGAAGTGAGAGCCACACAGTCCTGTCCGACTGCCCCGCCCACCCCTGACGTACCTGTTATCTCCCCGCCCCAGCCCTCCCCCTTCCCATTGCAAGTGTGGCCAGGGCCCTGGGTATCATGTCCGCATGCCCAGCCAGAGCCTTGCCTCCCCCGCCGCCCCTTCTCACCCCTTCCCATCGACATGATCAGTCCCCGATTGCTGTCCTGATGATGAATCATTCCAATTTACTGGATTTAAAACAAAAACAAGGTTGTTATGGTTTCATGGGGTAGCCCCCTCTTTCTCTCACCCTCTGGGTTTTGGGAGGTGGGGTGGGATATTCTCTGTTTGCTTCATTGGCTCTAGTTGCTGTGCTCTTGGCATCTGAGTCCACCACAGGCCCCTCCCCTATTTCCTGTCTTCCTTTTCTTTGATACCCTTTCCTGTTGTACATGGAAACTACACGGGCCTCTGTGTGTGCGTGCATGTGTGCGCCTGTATATACCTGTACAGAGAGATATATACGTGGGGGCTGGGGAGCGGGTAGAGTGCAGCTCAGCTCAGGGCTTGCAGCCAGGACACTGCTGACTGGAGCCTGTCGTCTGCTCCGTCCATGCTGGTGGGGTAAAGGCAGACAGGTGAGGGTTTTGGGCAGGCAGGATTGCCCTCTCTTCTGTCTGCAGGTGGGAGTTCCTGGGTGACAGGACAGATGATGGATTCTCTGCCACCATCTTCCTTATACCCCTTTCTCTCTGCCTTTCTCAGGGAAGGGGGTGGCCTTTCCCTCTAGATGACTATTCCCAAGGAGGTGCCATTCTGCTCTGCCTTGTTAGTGGGAAGGAGAGAGGAACCCACTCACTCTTATCAGCCCAGAGTGTTGAACAGAGCCCTCCCCCATCCTTAGATCTGTTCCTCTGGAGCTTGAGGGGGAGGTGGGGACAGCAAGACCACGTGTATCTGGGACCCAGGACCCAGGACCCAGGACCCAGGGCTCAGGGCTCAGGGTGGGTTTTGGTGCCAGGGGGGAGGCCTTGGGTTTTCCTCTTGATTCTCTCTTGTTACTAGGAGAAGGTGAGGCTTGGGTCAGCTTACTCCTTCCTTCGTGTGCCCTGCCCTTGAACTTGGGGGCTGGGTGGTTCCATTTGTCCCTTGTCAGTTTTCTCACTCTAGCAGCCCCGCTGGCCTCATCAGGGCTGAGTGGTATGGGGTGCTGTGGGCTGGGGATAAGGTAGCAGACCTCAGTACCAACCCTCCTACCCTCCAATTCTCTGTCTTTTCCTAGTTTAGGATGAGCTAAAGGATAAAGGCATTCTGTTGTTTTGAGGTCCTCAGACCACTCTGGCTGACCTTCCTCTGTTCTGACAGCTTTCCCGGCTTCCTCAACCAGTTCCCATGTATGGAGGTTGGAGTGGAGGAAGATGGATTCTGAGTGGTTGTCGGTGCTAGTGAGATGCAGTGGTCTTCAGGGCCCTCCTTCCACTGTTACGTAGTTGTTCAAAGCTGCTGCTGCTGCGTGCCTGTCTGCAGGGGATGCTTGTCCCTGAAGTCCTGGCTTGGGTCCTGACTTTGGTTTCTGTGAAGCCGTGGCTGTTCTTGGGCTCCTGTGTGTGCTGGCTGCGCCCTGAGCTCCAAGACAACTGCCCATACCTGTTGGCTACGATCAGAGCCCAGGGACCCCACCACATGGCTGAGGGACCCCCTCCCTGGAAGGCTGTCCCATGCCCTACTGCATGGGGCCAGACTTTGTCTCTTTACAGCAGCAGATCAACACTCTAGAGCCACCCAGACTGAGCTCTGAGAGGTTCCAGGGGTGTCTCCCTCAGTGCCAGTTACTTGGCAGTGTGTTACTTACCTAAGACACGGTGGATGCAGGCGGCTTGCTCCCTAGGCCTGTGCGTGCGTGTGCGTGCATGTGTGTGCGTGTGTGGTATGTGTGTATGTATGAGGGTGGTGCTGGAAGTTCTGTTTTGTTTTAAAATGGGCTCGCTCTGAACCCCGCAGAAACTTCCCTGCATATGTTTTCTTTGTGTTCTGATTTTGTTCTGTCCTCTCCCGATTGCCTTCCTCTCTGAACCCTTTCTTTGCCTTCTCAGTTTGTTCTCTGCTGTTGCTTCGTTGTCCATGTGCTGCCCACCCCACCCTATTTATGATTCCCCACTCTGTCTTGGCTGGTGAGGGCTGTGCTTGTCCTCCTGCCGCACTCCGTCTCAGACTCTCCCTAGTTAGATGCCAGTTAGATGGATTTTCCTCATTTCAGACCTCAACCCTATCTAGTTTCTTGGCCTCCAGAGCCCAATCTGGGGCTGAGGGTGTTAAGCAGCATTGGAGATTGCCCTCCTGCTGCTCCAGGTCTTTCCAGCAGGGGGCAGCAAGCGATCTTGGCTGTAGACCCTTGGGCAGGGTTAGTCCTTTATACCTTCCCCTTTACCTAACAGCTTTTTTGGGATTGAATGTTTCATTCCATTTCTGCCCACGCCCTCTCCCGCTTGCCTCAGGTGGGTTAAATTTTTATGCTTTTCCTGTTCCAGCTTTCTTCTTTCTGGGGACTCCCCCTCCTCTCAACTCCAAAGTTTGTTTGTGGTGTTTATAGTGGTAACTGCGGTTCTAAACTGGTTTTTCTTTTTCTCCTCCTCTGGAATGTAGACTGTACATGTTTAATAACTCGCCCTCTCTACCCTTGCTCAGAATGTGGGATAACGCAATGACTGTGACCCTGGTTGGAAATTAAACTTGTTTTATGCAGCTTTGGAGCAGACCTTCATCCTTGATGTGCAGCAGCTGTGGGGCAGGGGGCTGATGGTGCAGGTAGTTCTGTTTCTGGTCCCTCGGTACTGCTGCTCCTCGGCAGGGGGGAGGGCACGTTGGGTGGGTGGCGAGTGAGGTTGTGGAGGAGCGCAGGCCCGTCTGTGCATTGCTTATTTCCCCCTTGTACTTCCGAGGAGGGCTCAGAAGAGTCGGCGCCAGAGTGAGGGCTCTGTGACCTTGGCCCCTCCGGTCCTGGAGCTTCTCCAGGCTTGGCCGCACTCATCCCCCGTGGTAGATGTTAGGGACCTCAGTGACTGGAGAGCCCCATACCCCCCCCACCCACACACACGCAGGTCTCCACAGCCCGTACATTGGGTGCTTCTAGCCCAGACCGTTCATCAGTTAGAGTCCTCACACCCGTCTAGGTCTGGACTTGGGCTGTGAATGAGCTTGAAGGGTAAGTGAGCAGTGTAACGAGCTCGATCTTTCTCACAAGCGCCAGTCCTGGATCTCCGCTAATTCCGGTACAGGGCTCCCATTGTCAGGATGCCCAGCCTCACCCTGAGATGCACACACGTCCTGGGGAGTGGGTCTTGTCCCGAAGGTCCCTTTCCTCCCGTCCTGTTCTTACCACTGCTCTGTGACTTGCTGCTGCTATGTGGTTCCGGGTAAAGAAAGGGTGGTGTTATCCTCAGGCTGGGTGAGATGGGCGGGCCCACACTGCTGCTACTTTCTTAATCTCTGAGACGGGAAAAGACAGCGTGGAGGCCTTTCGTAAGTTTGTGAAGCTGGATGTGGTGGTACACGCCTGTGATCCAGCACTCTGGGAAGTTGAGTTAGGAGGACTGCAGGCTAGAGCCCAGCCTGGGCGATTTAGCAAGACTTTCTCAAGATTTTTTTTAAAAAAAAGCAGGGGTGGGGAGATGGGACTGGAGCTATAATTCCTTGTGAAGCCCCTGGGTTCGGCCTCAGTACCATTCAAAAAAGAAAAAGGCAGTTTGAGAGTCCCAAGTACCAGTGTATAAAGTATATATGAGCTGTAAAGTACTCAGTTATCTCTGCTGCTTCCTCTTCCAGTTTTCCTGTTCAGTCTCCCTTCTGTTATTAATAAGCTATGACCCATGAGGACCAGTGTTTCTGCCTTTTGTAACCCTCAAACTACTCTGGCTGTGTCTTAGCATCCCTGAAGCTTCAAGCAGTACTCACTTAACTGTCAAAATCAGATGAATTTTCCCTCCTCCAAGGCCCTGCTTGGTGATAGGGTGCTAGTAAGTTAGGACCACCTTTCTCAAATGCTGTACTTGTATGTTAGTAACTTACTTCACCTGACTGTGATAATGAAGTGCACTTAGCTGAAAGGCACTCCCGAAGGTGGTTTTGACCCTTGAGCAATTTGGAGGAGAAAACATCTTACTCCTTTCTGATCCCCAGTACTCAGTGTAGGGTGCCAGGAAGGAGGTGTAGGGGAGCCCTCTGCTATTGCAGCTTCCTACTGGAACACAAATGGCTCATCCGTCTTCCATAGACAAAGGACCCAGACCCATGGCACACTTCAGGAAAATGTGGGCCATGCAGCTTCCAAGAGGAGCAAGAGAGCCAGTGGAAGGGCTTGGGTTGGCCGGAGGGGGGTGAATGGAGCAGGAAGCTGTCCCCGCATTCCAGCGTCGGGGACGGCAGGAGTGTGAGTGGAGCTTCACAGCTGAGTTACAAGGCCTGCAGGCTCTGGGGCTCTCAGTGCTGCCCAATCGAGTGTTTAGATTGGTTAGAACAGAAAGGAGGCAACTGTTTACTTAGTCCTTTCTGTGAGTCTAGGTCTGTGTTAACAGTGGGTCAGAGCAGTGCACTTAGGGATCAGGGATCCATTTTTGGGCTGCTGTGGGATCTTGGGATATCTGTAGCGTACCACATGGGGCGGTGGGAGTGGAAAATACCTAGAGGATACCCAGTCTTTTCTTTTTTTAACATATTACCAAAGTCGGGGCTTTTATTACAGTAAACAAAGACAAATGCTTTTATAGTGTTTTCCAAGTGTTTCGTGAATGGTCGAAGTAATTCAGAACTAGAACATAACTCACAGTAGAGTGCTTTAAACAATTTATTTAACTGAAACGCCTTACACTGACTTCTGTTTGTTTTGATACATCATTTCCACCTGGTGATTCAGAGGATCTTCAAGCCAATACAAATATTTCATAAATATCTGGTCATTTGAGTGTACACCTGCGCAGTACCCCACATCTCTCAGCAGGAAAAACGCTGGAGTGAAGATCAGACACAGCTAGGTACAACCTAGAATCTGCTCCAAGTACTTCTCTGAGGTAACTAAGAACAACCATCTTCACAATTCAGGACAACTTTTTATTTTTAAGCAGGGCTTAGACCGGTTAGCCACTAATTAGGTGCAGAATGGCAGAGCCACATCCCCAGCTTATGCCATGATTGCATAGGGAACAGTTTCAGAAACTCGGGCTCCTGCCCATTGGTTTTCACGGTGTGCTCTGGGTGGGGCGGGCTGGCGCTTAGTTGAACCCATATTCTTTTCTTTTCGGCATCGTTCTTTTTCTGATCATTTTCCTTGATGAATTTCCGAAAGCTAGCTCAGCTTTGACTGTTCATTGTGCCCAGTACATACATTAACCCTCTACTTGCGTCTTTACAACATTGCCAACAGCATGCTGAGTAACACTGTAGACTCCGCTAGTTTTGCCATGGTAACATTTGTGTGGCTTTCCCTTTGCACAGTACCCCTTGCATTGATGTCTCCCGTGTCACCCTTTTTATAGATGTGCATGTGTGTGGCTAAAGGAACAATCCCGTGTTTTCTAAAAGGCCTAGAGAACATACACTGGCTTCCCCTCCTCTCTGCCTTTGTGTTCGCCATTTTGGCAGATTCCTGGAAGATGGTGGTGCGAGCCGAAAGGAAGCACCCTGTCCCTGGCTGCTGCTGCTGCTGCTGCACGTAGGGAGTGGTGTCCTCAGGCAGGCTGTTGTGACGCTGAGCTGCTTCCTGGACCTCTCTTCTTTTTTCCTTTTTCTTTTTCTTTCTCTCTCTCTCTTTCTTTTTGTCTTCTTGAGACAGGGTCTCAGTATGCAGTTCAGGCTGGCCTTCAGCTCACTTTGTAGCCCAGGCTGGCCTTGAACTTGCGGCAGTCCTCCTGCCTCAGCCTCCCAAGGGCTGGGATTACAGGCATGCGCCACCATGCCCACCCCGGGTCTCACTTTCTAATCCAGTAGCGAAAGAGAAGCAGTATCACACTGCTCACTGGGAAGTGATGTGGTCCGGATGCCTGCCTTCCCCTGTAGGTTTTTCTTTCTAATTAGATTTCCTGATCTTGGTTGCTAGTGTAGGTAAAAGTCACCCGAGTTCCTGAGAAGGCTGAGGAGAATTAGCACGGGGAATGGAAGTCTTGGATGGGATAGAGGATGGGCAGAGCTGCTGAAGGCCGTGGTCACACGTGTGGAAGTGAGGAAGTGGGGTTGAGACTGTCCAGTGTCAAAACGTGAGGTGTGTCGCTTTGGTCACGAGCCACGGAAGAGTACCTGGGCCCTCAGGAGCTGCCTTGGCCTCAGAGCTGGTAGGGTGCGAGGACACTGAAGCGAAAAATCAGCTTGCTGCATCCTTCCACCATCACCCTTCCTCACAAAGCAGGTGCAACCAGGGCTGTCGCGCAGTCTCGCCTGCCCGCCAGCCAGGCTGGAAGCTTGGGGATGAGCCTGTTACCTGTGCCCCATGCATGCTGAGAGCCATCCTGGGGTAGAGGTGGGGACCTGCAAGGACTCGTGAGCACTGGAAGGCTCAGCTTGTGGGCTCAGAGCTACAGCGTTGTGTTCCAAGTTCAGAGTCTAGTAAAGATGGTCACTTTCTTGGCTTTAGGTTGTAGAAAGGTGAGAAAGGAAGTACGTTTTTGCCTTTGCCAGCTCGTGTGCTGACGGGGTGAGACCTCCCTAGAGGTTAGAGCAGCCTTGGGAGAGGGAAGGTGGCTGCTTCGTACCTGGGTGAACAAGTGCGTAATAAGCCCTAAGGGGCTGGGGCTGGGCCTGTCAGCACGTATGTGCCACTCAACAGACCAGCAAGGCCCTGGTTCCGTCTGCAGCACCAACGGGAAGCAAACAACTGCCCTGCTTACTGTCTGGCAGCTAATAGGCACAGACCTGGTGGGTGAATGAATAAATACATGTGTTGACCAAGCTGGGTATGGCTTGTGCCCCGTGAGTCCTGGGAGCTACAGGGCTGCGGCAGAGTGCGAGCTGCTTGCCCTCAGAGATATCTCTCAAGTCAGAAGTTCTCTGATCACTCCTAGCTCTTGCCAGGGTTGGGCCAGGTCCCCTGCTTTCCCAGAAACATCTCACCTTTCTCTTTCAGGTTCTTAACCCAGTCCAAGGAAAAAGTACCTTCCTCCGCCATCCTGGGTATAGGCAGGCTTGTGCCTTGTTCTGTCCTTGCCACCCACCCATCCCCCGCTCATGTTCAGATTCCTGAACAGCCTCAAACCAGGGTAAGACAGTTAGCCTTCTAGCTTGCTGCAAGTCTGCTGGCATGTCAGCAGTCTGCCTGGCCGCCCTTTGCTAAGAAACGTTCAGTGTTCCCACAGCCTTAGCGTGACTTTCCAGGTTCTCCACAACCGGTCCCCTTAGGGACCTCTCCTCTTTTGGCCAATCTCTTCCTCTAGCCAACCTGGTCCTTTTTTTGGTTTTGTTTTTTGAGACAGGATCTGGGTCTGGATGTGTAGCCCAGTCTGATCTCTTAACTCATTTCAGTCCTCCTGCCTCAGCCTCCTAAGTGCTGGAATTACAGGTGTGCACCACCACACCTGGCAGTCCATTCATTTTTTCCAGACATCTGGCCCTCTGCCTTTACCCCATTTCTCACTTGCTTTTAAAAAGCACACTACAAGATCTAGCTTGTTTACCTCTCCACAAAGCTGCCCAGAGCTTCTCTAACCATGAGGATTTCATTTACCCATCACCACCACGTGCATATTTCCTTGTATTCCTATATATCTTGTCTATTTAATATTGTACTTAAATTTCTTAGAATCAAAATTTTAATGTAAAATATCCAAACAATGCATGAATATACAGAGCAACCTGTAAAACCTTCTCCTCTTCCCACTCCCACCTCCAGACCTAAATAGGCTCAGCAGTTTTCTGGGCACACATTTCATCTTTCCAGTCTTCCTCCCTCCCTCCCTCTCCCTGTGTTTGTTTTTGTTTTTTGAATTAAATTCATTGGTATAGCTGGGCGTGGTGGCACATGCCTGTAATCCCAGCACTCGGGAGGCTGAGGGCAGGAGGGTTCTTGCGAGTTCAAGGCCAGCCTGGGCTACAAAGTGAGTTCAAGGCCAGCCCGAACTGCTTAATGAGACCCTGTCTCAAAAAAAAAAAAAAAGTATATACAGTAGTTGTATTCATCATAGGGATTTTTTTACCTGTACATAACCTTGATTTGCCTTTTTTTCTCCCTGTCTGTCTTTATATATATATATTATAATTTATATATAATTATATAACAATTATATAAATTTAAATATATATTATTTTTTGAAACAGTCTCATTAAGTTCCCTGGGCTGGACTTGAACTTGTGATCTTGCTGGATTATAGGCATGTGTCACTGTGCCCAACTTCCAGTTCTTTTTTCTAAATATATGTATGTACACACATTTGGGAAGGGTTAAAATATAAATGGGCTCACATCACATGTATTCTCCATTTCGCTTTTTATTTGAGGGTATACACATTTGTCTTTTGAGGTCTTCCAATTAGCATATTTTATCTTTTTTTTTCCTGGTACTAGGGAGTGAACCCAAGACCTTCATGAGCTACGTCTCATTTTTTTATTTTGTGATAGGGTCTTACTAAGTTGCCCACCTGGGCTCGAACTTGCAGTCCTGCCTCAGCGCCCCCCAAGTGCTGGGGTGACAGGCCTGCACCGCCACACCTTGCCATCTTCCTCTTCACTGGCTTCTCGTTTCCTTGTGTGACTTACAGGAATTGTTGCCTGTGATTTGGAGAGTGTGCAGCAGGCGCTACGGGGCTCCAGGCACGACCACAATCTTGTCCTTGCTCTTCAGGAGAGAGAGGAGCGAGCCGGGCTCTCCTGTCCATGTGGGTGCGCCTGCAGTTCAGAGAGGGGCGAAGCCACTGTCAGCCGGGAGATTCAGGACCTCACAGAGGAGATGTGTGGCGGGAAGACTGGAGCATGCTGGAGGGCACAGGAGGGAGACGTGCTGGCTCAGCGGACGCCAGACTGCAGGCAGGGAACAGGGCTGGGCGCATCCACTTTCACCAGGTGTTCGCCTGTCCGGTATAAGCAGTGAAGACACAGAAATGAAAAACACGAGGTTGTGGTCTCTGAAAAGCTTTCAGCTTAACAGGATAAAAGATTAGTTCAGAAAAGTAGATTAAGACTGGATGACAAAGCTTCTAATTGGCCTATTGAATCAGAACGTTACTCGTTGGGCACTGCTGAGCTGTGGCAAGCTTAGTGGACAGGTCACATGACTGAAACTAGACAGAAGAACTGCACAGAGTAGTCTAAAGCAACAGAAATTTTTTTTTTTTTTTTTTTCAGTTTTTTCTGAAGACAGGGTCTTGGTATGTATATATAGAGCCCAGGCTAGCCTTGGACTCTCAGTCCTCCTGCCTCAGCATCCCAAGTACTGCTGGTTTATTTCTATCTCAGTTAAGAAATACCTGATGGGTCATGCAGTGGTGCACACTTATAATCCCTGCTACTTGCTACTTGGGAGATGGAGGTAGGGAGATTGCAAGTTTCAGCCTAGGCTGGACAAGCGTATCGATGTCGCAAGAGTCTGTCTCAAAGAATAAAAAGGGCTGGGAATGTAGCTCAGTGCGAAGGCCTGGGTTCAATCCCCGTACACCCCTCACACACACATATGAAGGTGAGCTGGGTGTGGGCTGCGTGCGTGCAATCCCAGCCCTCCAGAGGCTGAGGGAGGTTTGGGAGTTGCAGGCCAGCCTAGACTACATAGCAAGGCTGTCTCAAAGAAAACGAAGCAAACAAAGGTGCCTGGTGGGCGGAGGATGTGGTTGGGTGGTGAGTCATATATCTAGCATGCGGGCCCTGGATCCTATCAAAAAAAGGTGCTTGATGGTACACTGTCCAGAGACTGGTGTAGTGGCCCTCCAGTTACCAGGCTCAGGCTCCTGCCCTTCCAGCTCACCCTTGTGGGGTGGAGCTCCCATGCTCGGGGCCTAGTGAGAAACTAGCAACTGGAGCCATTCACGTACACTGCAGCAGCAGAAAGAAGGAAGGGCGATGAGGGACAGAGGCAAGCACAGAGATGCTTCTTAGATCAGTTAGTCCCTTCAAGGAGTCCTCTTGGAAATTTGAGACAGTACTTCCCGCACTTACGTTTGTATCTGATTGGCCAGAATTTCAATTGCCATATCCAGCTTTTTGTGAGCGGTGGCACTGGGGTTTGAACCAGGAGTGCTTTGCTGTTGCCCAGCTCTTTATTCCTTCACTTATTTGGATGGATTGATTGACTGGATTTTTGAGACAGGGTCTCCCTATGTAGCGCTGGCTGGCCTCGAAATTGTGGTCCTCCTCTGCATCCACCTCCTGTGTGCCGGAGTTATAGGTGTGTGCCACCAAGCCTCAATGATTTGCAAGTGAACAGATACTTTATTTTGTTTCGGTTATTTTGCTGGCCCCAGGAATCAAACTCGGGACCTTGCGCTTGCCAGGCAGGCGCTTTATGGCTGAGCTGTATCTTCAGCATCCCACCTTTTCTTTTGAGACAGTGTTGCTCTGTAATCCAGGCATGTCTCACCAGGCTTGGCCTCGCTGCCCTTTTAAAATTTTATTTTGAGTCAGGGTCTTGCTAAGTCACTAAAATGCCCAGGCTGGGCTTTAACCTGTGATCCTATCTCAGCCTCATGTGTAGCTGGGAATACAGGTATGCAGCACTGTGCTCAGCTTTTTTTCAATCCCAAAGAGAAAGACAATGAGGGTTTAAAATTCATGGCCGCCATGAGAATGGATAGAGCAAGAGGGCTGTGAAGAATCCAAAAGAGATTGGTTGGATGTGGGAAATGAAGGAAGACGGGATGCGAATAGCAGACCTGCAGCAGAAAGAGGAGACGGGGAGGGACGCCCGGCGGTTGCAGCTGGGACGGGATGGGGGTGTGTGTGCTGGGTTTGTGGAGCCTCAGGTTCTGGCCAAGCGCCCACATGGAGGTGTCCAGTAGGCGGCTGTGTCTGGGGCTTGCGAGGGCAGCCGGGGCTGTGATGCCAGAGCCGTGCTTCGGACGCTGGGGATCGAGAGCTCGCTGAGCGCTGCTGAGTGGGCAGAACCCGGTGCCAGCGTCTGAGCGAGGCTCACGGAGGCCGATCGGGCAGAAGGGGACTGGCGGGGTCACCTGCAATGAGCCGGAGCCCTTCACAAGCACGAAGGGCTGCGTGTGCTGCTCTTCTGCAAAGCTTGTAGGCGGGGACGGGCATGGTGGGGGGCAGTGACCCCCGCCGTTCTCACAGGAAGGCCGCTTTCCAAGGCCAGGGCGGGGGCAGCTGCTGCCCTTCTTTCGGTCTAACCCTCCAGAATTCAAGCGGCGCGGGCGCGGGAGAGGACCGCGGCTCTGCCCACAGCCGGCGCGCTGCAGCCGCTGCCGGGCTGCGGAGACGCCTCAGGCTCGGGCCGGCCGGGTGTGAGCCCTGCCTCTGGCCAGCC